CCCGGCGACGGCGCCGCCCCCCGCGCTCTCGGCCCCCGCGCCAGAGCTGCTGGCCGTCGTGCCCGCCAACGGCAGCGCCGTCGCCGTGGAGGCCTTCGAGGTGGTGCTGCGCTTCACGGACATCGTGTGGGTGGGCAGCGGCGGCATCCAGATCGTCGACTGCGGCGCGGACGGCCAGTGCGGTGCCGTCGACCTGCTGGACGACGCCGCGCTGGTCATCGACGCCACGGACCCCTCGCAGGTCATCCTGGACGTGAACAGTAGCGTCGTGCGCATCTCCCCAGCAACGCAGCTGAGGCCGCTGCGCTTGCACCAGCTAGTGATTCCGGAGGGTGCCTTCGTCGGCCACAACGGCCGCAGTTTTGGTGGGATCCCTGCTGGTGGCCACTTCTTTGAGACAGGGCAGGCACTGGCTCGGCCTACCGGCTGGCGGATCGTCGCGCAGGCGTTCGAGGAGACAGACGCCCTTCTTGACTGGGAGGTGTGCGAGGTAGGCTTCTACACCTCGTCCGACTGCAGTGGAGCCGCCATCGAGGGCACCCCTGTGGCCAGCAGCGCGTCGGCCAGCCTTTCGCAGGTGGGAGACAGTGGCCTGGCATTTGATGGCAGTTTGGGAACGTGCTGGGTGCACAATGGCAGCGCGCCTTCGGCCTGGCTGGGCCTGCAACTGAAGGACGCCAGCTTCGTCCGATCGCTGCGGGTCATCGGCAATCCTGCGGGAGACGGCGCGGCGCTCACCGCCTTTTACCTGCAGTTCTACTTCGAGGGTAGGTGGCACAACCTGCAGAAACAGGGCTACAGCGAAGATTGCATCGAGGTGGTGCAGGACTACAGTTCCGTCTTCGCGGGTGAGCGCGACACCTCGGAGCCCGCCATTGTCTCCTTGCAGCCAGCGCACGGCTCTTCCAACGTGGCCCCGTCTCAGAGGCTCCAGCTGGTCTTCGATGAGGATGTGAGGTTGGTGGAGGGCACGGACTCCGTTGCCCTGGTGCATGCAGGGGACGACACCACGTGTGATACGGGCGACGATGCCGTGACGTACCTTGCAACAGTCCTCCCCGAGCTGCTGCAGAATAACGGCACCGTGCCCTGGGTCATGGCAGCAAACAAGACATTGATCGTCAAACTGCCATGGGTGGACATGTCCACAGGGTACTACTGTCTCCAGGTGAATAAAGGTGCCGTCCTCGACGTCGCGGGCAACCCGTTCGCGGGGCTCTCTGGCGAGTCGTACAAGTTCTACGTCGACACCGGAGAAGGCGTCATGCCAACCCTGCTGTCGACGGACCCCGCCCCCGGCACCGTGCTGATCGGCGGGCGGCAGCAGCGCTTCCGGCTCTTCTTCAGCCAGGCCGTGCAGCTTGCCGACCCCTACCTGTTCCTCACCGTGGGGCAGGTGCCCGGGGCCCATTCCGCCCACTTCGTGCCCGCCAACGCGAGTGCAGACGCCAGCCCGAAGAGGAAGAAGCGGCCTCGGCCCAAACTTCCGGCGCTCCGCGCGGAGCCCCTGGATCTGCCTTGGGCCCCGCACTCCGCGCGCCGCCCCCTCGGCGCGCTCGCTCCGCGCGCCAGGAGGGGGGGGGGCCCAGCGCCGATCCCAGGAGCCGGCGCTGAGCCTCTGAAAGTTTATGCTCAGCGGGCGCACACCGGCACACTAGAGCTATGTGTCCTCCTTGGAGGCGAGCGTCCGACCCGAGCACATAGTGTGACCATCGTGTAGTATACAGGTTCCCGAACGGTGCGGCCCGGAAGCCCCTGGCCGCCGAGCATGTGACACAAGATTTCTCGGCGCGAGCGTCGCCCCCTTGGAGGCGACGCGCACATAGCATTAGTATGTTTGGGTGGCGCCGAGCTTGTGCAGTTTTCTTTTCTTCTGTCATTGGCAACCACACCGTGACCGTCAACATCACCTCCGCAGACATTGCTGGCTCTGTGGTCACGCTCGTGCTCGGGACGGGGCTGACGCCAGGCTACCAGTACGCCCTCCAGATGCCAGCGATTGCTCTGGCGGGCCTGCCAGAGGTGAGCACGAGCACCATCCTCGGGACCACTGCGCTGGTGCCGACGCCCTTTGAGGGCGTCTCTGGCGACGAAGTGGCCTGGCACGTCATCGAGGACCCAGCCCGGGTGTACGACCACCGCGCCCAGACGCCCACCACATCGTACGCCAACGCGGCGCAGGAGACGGCAGCGCCGCTGTCCGAGGCGCCCCCTGCGGCGTACCACGCGCACCTGGTGGCTCGCCAGCTCGAGCTCGGCAACGCGACGGGTACCTCGGACAACGCGACGAACGTCTCGGTCGTCGCCGTGGGGGTGGGCCAGGCCCGCGCTGCTCTCGGCGCCAGCCACTGGCTGCGGGCCGCCACCGACTTCGGCTCCGCGGCTGCGGAGGTGGGCCTGCTCGTGGCGCCCCAGAACTCGCCCGCCCAGGTTCACCAGCCTGAAACACATCCTTGCCCCTGTGACTGGCACCGTCCTATCTCGATGCCGACGTTCGGGAAGATCAGCGGTAGGCCCCCGACGGCGAAACCGTACATTCCTGGGCGATGCACACCATCTAAGCCTATCCTTGCCTTGTGGTTGGTTTTCGGGTCGCAGTTCGCCTCTCCGGCGGCCGTTCGGGACGGCCCCGGCACCCCTGGAACGCTCTCGGCGAGGCGCAGCTGCTGCAACGCATCCGGAAGCTGTCTGGCCGCCGAGACACGGCGAACACGCCCGACGGCGCATCCCCAATATATTGCCATCGCCTTTCGGCGTGCCGATCTTCGGGGCGGGGACGCGTTCGCGGCTGGCTATGGAGGTGCTGGCCACCCGACCCGAGCTCCTGGTGGTCTCGGCGGGCCAGGCCGGACACCTCCCCGGCCTCTGGCTGGAGGACGATGGCGCGGAGGAGCTCCGCGTGCAGGTCGTCGTGGAGCCCGCGGGGGAGCTGGCGATCCTGCCGAGCGCCTGGGAGAGCCAGGGCGTCGAGCACGTCCCCAGACCTCCTCGCGCTGTGACAAAAATCACGACGGGCGGTTTGTCGCTAGGTTCGGCCTCTGGGGGCCCTGCCGGGCCCCAGGACCGTCAAAAACGACTCGGGACGAAAGACCGGCCCCGGGGAAGGTGTCCAGACCTCTGGGGTCGACGTCGCGGAAAAAGCACGACGTCGGGGGTCTGGGTCAGGCGATCGCAGACATGGATCAAGGGGGCGTGGATTAGCGCCGGGTGGGACATCGTGAATTTCTGCCGCCGAGCGAGGCGGTAGTTGCCGCATGTTTGGGGAGGGCACCTCCCCCGACCCATGGGTCTGGCGACCGCGCGCCAAATCCATGGATCGCTAATCCATGTGTGCGCGCCTCCGAGGAGAGCCAGGGCGTCGAAAACGTCAGCCACACCGTGCAGGTCTCACCAGACTATGGGTCGCTCGGGCAGGGCGACGCCTCGGTGCTCTCCGGCCGCGACCTCGCGGCGGCGGCCCTGTCCTTCGCGGGCCCCGCGGCGTCGGTCGCCGCGGCGCTCTCGAACCTGACGTACCGGGCCCCGAGCGGCTTCTCGGGCCACGCCCTGCTGCGCATCCAGGTCAAGGACGGCCCGTTCCTCGCGGAGGGCAACCTCGCCGTGCGCGTGCGGCCCGCGGACGCGCCGCTGCGGGTCCGCAGCCGGGGCCGCGGGCAGCGCGCGGCGGAGGCTGCTGCGGGCAGGCTGCAGAGCCTGGCCGCGGCGGGCTGCGCATGGCACGTCCAGGACGGCGCGGCCTCCGACTCTGCCGAGTACCTGCTCAGCGTGCTCTCGGTGCACCCGCAGGTGGGAGCCGGGCGCCTTGGCATCGCTCGGACGGGTGCATTTTTTGCTCGGCGAGGGCCACCGAGGAGCCTCCTCGACCAACGAGCAAAACAAACACGCACGAAACCGACAAAGGCACGGGAAATGGACGTCCGAGCGACGGCGAGGGTCGGGGCGGGCTGGGGCGGCCCAGCACCGGCCTCTCGGCCAGCAGAGGGGGGTCGAGGCAGGGGGGGGGAGCCCCCCCCTCGTCGCCCTTGCTTTCCAGGCGCGGCTCGGATATATAGCTGGTCGGTCTCGACCCTGGGAGGGGTCTGGGCACCGACTCTGAGAGCAGATTTGCCCTCGACCCCCCTCCCCCCCTCCTATCCGATTATCTCGGGACCCATCCAGCACAGACCCCCGGTCGCTTCCAGCCCCGAAGGCCTCGTGCAGTAACTTCACCGCCGACCTCTGCGTCGGCTCGGGCCTGGACGGCGGCTGCCTGTCCGCGCGCGCGCCGGAGTCGTCGTCGCCCGCGTACGTCGGGGCGGGGGAGGGAGACCTCAGCCGGGTGCTGGTGATGAGGGTCTCCGGCCTTGCCTTGCTGAACCATCACCTGAGGAACTCGATACTGTGGCAGCCCTGCCCGTGCGCGAACGGAGAGCTCCGTTGCGCGATTCCTGTGCGTGTCTCGGTGGAGAGGGCCTCTCAGACAACGGGCCGCAGAAACGAGTCTGCCAGCGCTGTCTGCGACATCAGCGTGGTGGTTCCATTAAGCGTTACGGTTGACGTGCGCGGCTCTTACCTGTCCACGCCTGAGGACCAGGCGCTCGAACTGGGAAGCTTGCTGCGCATCCAGGGCAGCTCACCTGGCGCTGGCGTTGTGATGACACTCTCTGCCCGCGAAGGTACCGTCAGCGGCGTCACTTCGTCGTCGAGCCTCGTACTTCGAGGGACTTCCGTGACAGAGCTAGCAGAGGTTGTGCGGCAACAAGGGGCGTGGTACATCCCGCCGCTCGACTTTCATGGCGTCGACGAGCTGGAGGTCACAGTGGAGGCGATGGTGGCAGAGTACCAGGCCGCGGCCCAGGAGACCGTCGCCAACCTCAGCAGGATCTCCAATGCCACCGGGGAGGAGATCTCGGACGATACCCACTGGTATGGAATTCACACCGCGCAGGCGAGCCTGGGCACCTACGCCGTCATCAACTCCAGCCGGGGGGCCGACCTCCGCCTGGTGTTGGCCCAGCACTTTCGCCTCGAGGTCCACGTGGCCCCCGTCGGCGACGCGCCGGCGCTGGCGTTCTCGCACGCGGCGGGCAGCGGCGCTTTCGAGGTGACCGCGGGCGCGGAGCACGCCCTGACGCTGAGCATCCGGCACCCCGACGTCGGCGAAGAGGACAGTGTTCGTGTGCGCATCTTCGTGCCCTTCGGCGAGCTGGCGTTCGGGCGGCTCGACGCGGAGATCGGGGGCGCCGACCAGGGGGGGGGGGGGGAGCCGGCGCTCGCCGGGGGAGGCGGTGGACCCAACAAGATCACAGCAGCAGTGCTGGTTGTAGTGGGAGTAGTGTTGGACTTTTTAGAGGGGAGGAACGTCAGGGTCAAGTTGTAGGCAGCTTGCCTGGCTCACGGGCAAGTCTGTGCACACAGCTGCTTCACGTCTGCACAGTCGGGGCCCTGAAGAAGGAGCCCTTTTCGTTGGGGAGGGGCTCCGTGTTCCTTGAGTGTTTCGCAGCTTGCCTCAGGCGTTCCTTCTGTCTTCGATCGGGAAATCGAAGTTTAACTTGTGGAAAAAAGGGGGCCTCGTTCCTTATTGTAGTGGCCTTCGGCCAGTGCCGCCGATCCGGGGCGCTCCGACTGATGTGATCCTTCTTCGCCCTCGTCCCTCCTCTCTTTTTCCCTCCCTTCCTCTCACTCAGCATTTATCGAAGACGCCTACGGCGAATCACCGCCGCCCCCTGCCTTTTTGGAAGCGCCTATGTGGCCGAACGTTGAGGCCAGACCTGCCAAGCTATCGGACCACGTGTTCCCCGAATCGGTTTGGAAAGCCTTCGGGGAACACGTGGGCATCTTGAAGGTCATCTTGGCCGTCTTGGAGGCCTCTTGGGCAAGCTTTGGGCGATCTTTGGGGCTTTTTGGGCCGTCTCGGGCCAGCTTCGAGCCAACTTCGGCCATCTTGGTGGGTTCCTGGCACGTCTGAAGCCGTCGGAAGCCGTTTGGGGGGCCTCTATGGGCCGACTTGGGGCCCGCTTGGAATGCTCCAGGGCCGTCTTGGAGGCCATCTTGGGCGTCTGGGAGGCCATCTTGGGCGTGTTGGAGGCCTCTTGGGCCCTCTTGGGGCCCTCTAGGGGCCATCTTGGAGGCCACTTGGGCCATCATGGGGCTCTCTTGGGGGCCTCTTGGGCGATCTTGGGGGCTTCTTGGGCCGTCTCGAGCCGTCGGAGAGCCGAAAAGGCGCAAATGCCAGAATCCTTCAAAAACCAAGGAAAAATCAATGATTTTGGCCTCTTCGGACTCTCCTGGAGGACCTCTTGGAGGCCTCTTGGGCCGTCTGGGAGGCCTCTGGGGGGCCTCTTGGGCCGTCTTGGGCCGTCTTGGACTCTCTTGGGCCGTTTTGGAGGCCGTCTTGGACCATCTCGGGCGGACTTGGAGGCCATCTTGGGCCATCTTCGCGATTTTTTGAGGATGTCCCGAGCGAAACGGCCGTTTTTTGGAGGATTGTTTTCCGGATTGAGGTCCTTTCGGCTTCCTCCCGGGACCCCGGCGGGACGGGCCGGAGCCCACTGGAGAGTTCTTTTAGAAAAAGAACCAAAACCAAAACCAGCTCATCCAGCACGCCGTGCACCCCTGCAAGCAGGGGGCGGCGGATCCAGTGGCCGTCGGCCTATCCCGCCACCGTGCGTGGGTGGTGGGTCAGAGGCCTCATGGATGCTGGTTGGGATCTCGTGGTTGGCTGGGACTTCTGGGGGCCTCTTGGGCGCCTCTTGGGGCTTCTTGGGGGCCTCTTGGGCCTCTTGGGGCCACTAGAGGGCCTCTTGGGGGTCTCTTGGGAGCCTCTTGGGGCTTCTTGGGGGCCTCTTCTGCGCCCCTTGGGGCCTCTTGGAGGCCTCCTCGGAGCCTCTTGGTGCGGGAGGGGTGGTACTCGAGTTCGGAACCCCCTCGGAGGCCACGATCCTTGTGAGGGGTGTCAAAAAACGCATCCGCCGGAAACTCGCACCCCCCCCCCACCCCACCCCCCCTTCCCCGGCAGAGCCACCCCGGCAACCCCCCCAGAGGCTGAGGCTCAGCCTCGAGGCTGTAGCTGAGACTCCTTGAAACTCACACGCCGGATCGGCGGATTTAGGGTTCCTTTGGTCAACGCCCCGTCTGTGTGTGTGTGTGTGCTCTCCGCTGGGCCGGGGCTGCCCCGCCGCGCTCGGGGAGCGTGCAGGCCTCGCTGCCAGAGGGGGGGGCCCACCGCCGATCGAGCGGCGTTGCATCTCTCAGGAGGGGAAAAAACACACAGACACAATTAATCGGCGATTCCCAGAAAATATGGGAAAATATGGGAAGTGGGGGGGAAGACAGAAACCTAGAAAATATGGGAAAATATTGGGGATATTTTTATTTGTGTGTATTTATTTGTGTGTTCCAGTTCCCCTTCAATCTCGCCGATTCCAGGGCAGCGCTTCCCTGCCTGGGCCAGTAGCCTTGAGTCGGGCGCGTCCCCCTACAGGGGGACTTTCGACGAAAAATGCACCATACCCCGAAAAAATGCTCCAAAAAGGCAAACACATGCTCAAACAATAGTCCCCAGACGATTTTTGGACAACTGTTTGTTATTATTTTGGGGGTATGTCTTATTTCTCGTCGAAAATCCCCCTGTAGGGGGGCACGCCCGACTTAACAGTAGCCCCCTGTCCCAGAGCTCCGGCGTCGTGTTCGTTTCTGTTTCACAGCATGGCTCCCCAGAGGTCTGGAGCCCTTTCCGAGGACGTTTTTTTTTTCCAATCAGGGTACACCGCCGCGTCAGAAGTGTCGTGCGGTCTGCGCGCAAGACGACTGACGGCTGGCGGGGTAAGCGGAGTGGGCGGAGTAGAAACTATTCCGCGCGGACACGTATCCAGCCCCATGTTTCATGATAGACTGGGCGTAGTAATTTCCGATCCCGTTGTGAAGTGAGGGTGGCCACGTACCTCGTGGGAGTGCAAGGGGTATCTGCCCACGTTCGGAAGTTTCAGAGAGGGTCGGATATTCGAGCACACAACAGCAACCGAATGAGCTTTCGCAGCAGCAGTGTAGTGTTCTGTTTGACGGTGCCAGGGCCCTGTATGGCAAGAACAAGCCCACAAACACAATAGTCTGGTCGTCTGGCTATGCGCAAGGCAAACCTATTATTGTGGTCGCGTTTCATGAGCCGTGTTCTGTTTCGGAGTTCTCGTCTAGTAAGAACGCTAGCGTAGAAGAACGCCTCGGAGAGGATCGTATGTGCGATCGTCGTATACCCAGAATCGCTTTCTCGCATCGTTCTCTTCTTGCTGCTCCTTCTCAAGAACGCCTTCTTGTGTGATCACGTCTTGCTTTCCTCGGTGTAGACGATGTCGAAGCGCCGGAACAGAACACGCCGGGTCGGCGGCACCGGCCAGTGCCGCCGACCCTGAACGACGACCCCCACGATGGAAGAGGCAGCAGTCGGGAAGGTCGGGATCAGACCAAGAGGGCCCAAGAGGCTGCACGAGGCCCCGAAGATGCACCCAAGAGCCCCCCGCGGAAGTTCTGGGGGTTTCTCTGGGGGAGCCTTTTGGGAGACTCCGGGGGCCTCCTGACGGTTCCCTGGGGGCGCCTTGGGGCCGCGTGGGGGTTTCCGCGGGGACTCTTGGGCCTTGGGCCCCCCCGGTGGGGGATGGCACTTCATCTCAACTACGGGGTTGTTCAATTTCGCTTAGGCTGCTTCCTTTTGGCTGGCGCGCTCAATGGGGACGGCCCAGGGAAAGGGGGGGAGCGGCGACGGCGACGACGACGGCGACGGCGACGGCGAAGACGACGGCGACGACGACGACGGCGACGACGACCGCGACGGCGACGACGACGACGATGACGACGACAACGATGGCGACGACGACGACGACGGCGGGTCAACCGGAATAGCTTCTCGCACACGCCGACAGGGTCGGCGGATTTATTCGCTACGCGAGGAGGTCAGGAGTCGTCCCTCCTCAGGAGATGGACGGGGAATGGGGGGAGATCTCCGAGTTCTCGACGAGCGACGAGGTCGACGAGGAGTTCGAGGCCGCGCTCGGACTAGGCGGCAAGGATTGGGAGAGGAAAAGCAAAGAGCGATCCCCTACCATTGACCGGCACGTGCTCGGCAGCCGTGGGGCGTCTACCAAGCAGTCTTGACCTGTTCGATTCTTTCCCCAGGTGCGTTTGCTAGAGGGCGTTGCCGTCAGGGGTGCTTCTTCTGAGGGTGTTTTTTTTCTGTCTTCTTCCAGGAGCGCCACGGGGAGTGGCCCAGCGTCGTTGTCCACAGGCCGACTGCGAGGGTGTACACGATCGCCGGCACCGTCGCGGCCCTGAGGCGAGAGCCAGGGAGTTCGGGGATTGGCGACGCGTCGGAGGTCCGAGATTTGTCTTTTGGTCTGACGCTTTCGTCGAACCCTGGGGGTGTCCCTGCCTCGGGGTACACTCCAGCAGCGGCACCTCGTCGAGAGCGTCCCGGGGGCTCGGGGTGCCCGATTCGTCCAGTGGGCGTGCTCGCTGGGCGGCGTGCCATTCTTGGAAGAGGGAGGGAGGAGGATCGCAGCTGAGGGGGAGAAGGAGGAGGGATGGGAGCTTTCTCCTTCCCCCCCGTCCTCCTCCTGCGTCTCCTCGTCCGCCTTCCCTTCTCCCTCTCTGCTCCTCCCTGCCCTCAGTCCTCCCCCCTCGCCCTCCCGCCCCCCTCCGCCCTTTCCCGTCCTGCCCTGCTCGTTCCTCGCATTCCCTCCCCTCGGCGAAACGCAAGAGTGGCCTCCGGTGCGTGGCCTCAGGGGCCGCGGGGGGGTGGGGGCAAGCGCAAGCCAGTGTGCTTGGGGGTGGGCCTCCGTGGGCCCACACCGCAGGCCACAGCGGCGAAGGGCGCCACGCTCACCCGTAGCCGACGGGTTTCCTCCCTCGTTTCTGGCTGCTGGGTCGCCGGGTCTCGGTCGCCCGTTTCGGGCGGGTGGTAGTGGGGGGTGACCCCAAATAGGGTGGGGAAGAAGAAAACGGCCCTGCAGATACCCTGCAGGGCCCTTGTTGAAGCCCGCAGGGGCCCGACAGAGGCCTCAAAGGGCCCCTTCGGGGCCCTCTGCTTCACCCCCCCATTTGGGTCAACCCCCCTTTGCAGCCCGCCCGAAAGACAGGACGCTCGTCGAGGGAGCTGCTGCCACTGCTCGTCGTCCTCCTCCCGCCCCTCCCCTTCCCTCCCCCTCCCCCTCCCCCTCCTCCTCCTCCTCCCTCCTCCTCCTCCTCCTCCTCCTCTCCTCCTCCTCCCCTCCTCCTCCTCCTCCTCCTCGGCGCTCTGCTCCCCCGCAGGCGTGTGCTCGCACCCGTCGCCTACGTGCCGCCGTACTCGTCGCCCGACTCGGGCGCGCTGCTCGCCGTGCTGGGGCGCTCGCCGACGTCGGCGGAGCCCGAGGCCGCCGAGCCGCACGACGACGACGACGACGACGACGACGACGACGACGACGACGACGACGACGACGACGACGGCGGCGACGACGACGACGACGACGACGACGACGACGACGACGACGGCGACGACGGCGACGACGAGGACGGCGACGTTGCGGGTTTGCGAAAAGCGCCGAGAGGAAGCCAGGCAGGTCGACCCCTCGTCAGGCACCCGACGGCGCTCGTGCCGCGCGGCCACCCGAAGCAGCCTGTCCCGCGTCAGGTGTCAGCGGACTTCTGAGGGCCTCCCTCCGCCTCGCGGAGGCGCCGCACCGGCGGACCTCTCTCCGGGCCTCCCGGGGCCCGCGTGGGGAGGCGCCGCTGTTCTTGTGCTCGCTACCTCTTCCGAGGCCCGTCTGTGCGCGCGCGTGTGTGTCTGTGTGCAGATGTGCGTGCGTTTATGCATATGCGTTGAAAGTTGCAGGGTGCTGTGGTGTAGCTGCGAGGGGTATATTCGAGACGAGGGCTTGGCAGTGTGGCTCTGCGACGCACTTATGGCTCTCTGAAACAGGCGCGGCACGTGGACAATATTTGCGCGTGTCATGAGTCCCGCTTTAGCGAATGCCGTGGCCCAGTTTCAAAGTCGAAGAGGGTCCGTTAAGCGCCGCTCATGTGACACGCTCAACCCGCTGCTCCACGAAGGGTGCCAGTCTCATTTGCGTTGTGTCCGGGTATCGTTCACGTGCAGGCCTAGGAGTAAGAGGGCGTTCGACACGTGGCCCTGGCATCGTTCGGACGTGCGCATTTTTTCTCGGCGAGGACCATCGAGGAGCATCCTTCATCATTTGGAAAAACCACGCACGAAACCGAACAAAAACACAGGGAATGGACGTCCGAGCGATGGCCAGTGGCCGCTTGGGAGCAGGAAGTGGGCCTTTTCTGGGTCGGGATGTGCTAAGTTTTCCGAGCCGCCGTCGCTTGCGCCACCCTCGATATGCTCAAGGCCCTGCGCCCCAGGCCAGGCCTATACCTGTACCTGCGCCTGTTGCGGCCCATGGAGAACTCCGGGGGCGCAGATCCACATCCGGCCGTGCTGTCCCCTGGGCCTTCGTCCGAGCTCGCCCAGGTCGTTTCGCCGGCTTCGTCACAGGACCGAGCATCGATCCTGTGCGAGGCGACGGATGCTATGCTGGTGGAGCTCCGCGGGACGGCGCTTCAGAGCTGCCTGAGCGGCATGGGCCAGATCTGGGAGGGCTCCGTGGAGAATCAGAGCTACTACGCGCGCACGATGATTCGACAACGCCTCGACTACTTTATCTCTCACGACTGGTCCACCAGCCGCTGGGTCAAGCTGCTGACCCTCGCTGTGTACTTCAACGGCACGGCGGCGTTCTGCATGAGCCTCGCCGTGAGCGTGGTTGTCTTTGTGCTGCAGGTGAAGGGCGTGCTTGTTCAGCGGATGCCGCCGCAGGTGCGCCTCACGGCTGGCGTAGAGTACGAGGAGGTCAGCGGGGTTTGGAGCTTTCCCGCCGGCTGTCTCACCTTCTTCTTCGTCCTCCTCTACTGGCAGGTCTGCCGTGAGCGTGTCCTGTTGCCGATCTACGTCTTCGTTGACAAGGCGTGCATCAACCAGTGGAGCCCCGAGGAGAAGAAGCGCGGGGTGTACTCGATCGGCGGCTTCCTCCAGAAGTCGGACCGGCTGCTCATGCTGTGCACGTCCAGGTACTTCTCGCGGATGTGGTGCGCCTTCGAGGTCGCCGGGTGGCTGCGGAACAAGGACGTTGGCTCGATCGTCTTCCTGCCGCCGAGCGACGCGATGTTCACGAGCGTCTTCTTTTCCATCGTGCTGCTTTCCCACGCGGGTGTCTACGTTGGCACCCATTTCCCTGGCGTGCCGCTCATCATATGTGCGATGGCCGTTCTCGCCTTCGCTCCTCTCCCCCTCGTCCACTCGGCGAGGCTGGCGATTGGGACTCTCATGACGATGCCGGAGCAGCTGCGTGCGCACGACGTGAACCAGACCCAGTGTTTCTGCTGCTCTCACCAGCACGTCGACCCAACAACACAGTCTGCCCTCATGTGCGACCGCGAGATTGTCTACGACGCGATCGACTTCTGGTACGGGAGCGGCAAACCGCACCCATCGCACCAGGAGGCGGTCGCAGAGATGGACGGGCCATCGCCCGATGTGTCCGCAGCGTTGGGCCGCGTCGGCAGGGCGCGCTTCAACGAAGAGGTCCAGACCAAGCTCTCGCACGAGCTCGAGATCATGATCGCCCAGCCGGTGAGCTACGTCTCGTGCCTCCTGTCCGCCGCGCCCTCGCTGTGGTGGTACCTCGACCAGATGGTCACCATTGTCGTCGACGGCCCGCACGACGCCTACCTGACCTTCAAGCGCATAGTGCGGATCTGCATCGTCTGCTTTTTTCTCTGGCCGCTCATGCGCGCCGGCGTGGTGGCGGGTGCGAGGCGCTTCTACAAGCGCGGCGCCAGCCGTGGCGGCGATCTCGGGCGCACGGCCGCGGCGTTCGGGATCGGCTACCTTCCGCTCATGGTGTGCTATTTGTTCGCCGTCATCGTCGCCGAACCTGCCGAACACATGGTCTTCGAGGCGGTGCTCATCTTTGTCTTGGTCGTCCGGCTCGCCTTCTTGGTGCGCCCCGCGCGACCTCCTGTGAAGGCTGTACCCGAATCCGAGCGCGACATGACGATGTGACGGCCTCGCAAGGGGCCGAACGAGGGTAGTCTTCATGCGCGGCTTCATGCGCGGAGTGCAACAGAGCCTCCTCACGTGTCTTCGTTTTTTCGCGTGCCGCTGATACGTGCGTCCGTCTGCACTGACCTCGGCGTGCGAGGACGCCGACCGATAAGCGCTTGGGTTGTCAGTGTTGACGTGAAGGAGCGCGTCTGCCATCCTGCGTCTGACCCGCGCGCCGGTTCGCCGCCGGCATCCCGTAGCAAGCTCGGGCGTGCACCCAGGGAATGCCAGCGCAGGGGCCCGCGATCGCGACAGAGGTCGTGTACAACACAGGGCACGGCGCGCGTGCGCTGCTGGCCATCATCAGTGCTTGCCTCGCCTACAAAGCAGCATGAGCAGCTGGGCTCGCCCGAGCACGGTTCGCGGTGGGAGCCCAGGCCACTGCAGCGCTGCTCGCTTCACTTTCCTAGTACAAGAGCCGCCTGACTTTGGGCCAACAGTACTTTGGAGGAGCGATATGGCGGGGCTGCCAGCGGGGAAGAGCGCGGTGAGTTCGACCGCTGGCGGGCAGGACTCTCGCCGGGGGCCACGCCCGCGCACTGGCGCGCTCCTCTAGCTACGCACATCTGCTCTTCATTCGCTCAGTGGCGCTCTTACCTCCGCGCCGTTGTCTACGCGCCCTCGCGGCCCCATGCTGCCAGCTTCGGCATTTCCCTTCACTTGGTCACTCATTGCTTTCATTTGTACCCTGCGCGGGCCTACTCGTGCAGGTCGCAGTCTGAGCCCGTACACCCAACAACTGAAGATATAGCATTTGTGGGGAGCAGTTCCCCGGGGTGCGCGGCGTGCGTGGATCCCACGCTGCACTCTTGGCTCTTATCCTCCCTGGCAGACCGTTGCGCGGCAGCGCATGTACTCCACACGAGCTGCAGAGACGAAGGCTGCTAGATCTGCTGGAATGAGCATATCCTGAGCCAATCGTATAGTGGCAGAAGTCTCACCCTAGAAGTGCTGTGCAAAAACGTCCACGCCTCAGGCCCTGGCCTCTGGGCGCTTGGGCTGATGTTTCTAGTTATGTCAGCGTCTGGTTGTTTTCTCCACGACATCATCCGTAACCGTTGTAAAGTATGGATGCATGATCGAGCCGCTTCGCTCATGTTGCCGGTTCATATCGAAGACGCCTACTGCGAATCACCGCCGCCTCTTGCCGTTTTGGAAGCACCTCTGTGGCCGACAACTGGGCCAGAGCTTGGCCAAGCTATCGGGCCAGTTGTTCCCCGAGTCGGTTTGGAAAGACTTCGGGGAATGCGTGGGGGAGCAAGAAGGGGAGGAGGAGGAGGAGGAGGAGGAGGAGGAGGGAGGAGGAGGAGGAGGAGGGAGGAGGAGGAGGAAGAGGAGGAGGAGGAGGAGGAGGAGGGGGAGGATGAGGAAAAAAGAGGAGGAGGAGGAGGAGGAGGAGGAGGAGGAGGAGGAGGAGGAGGAGGAGGAGGCCTCTTGGGCGCGTCTTGGGGCACTCTTGAGGCCTCCTGGGAGCTTCCTGGGGGCCTCTTGGAGGGTTCTTGGTGGCCTTTGGGGGCTTCCTGGGGGCCTTCTTGGCCGTCGTGGTGCGTTCCTGGCTTGTCTGACGCCGTTGGAAGCCGTCTTGGGGGCCTGTCTGGGTCGTCTTGGGGCCCTCTTGGGGCATATCAGGGGTTCTTAGAGGCCATATTGGGCGTCTTGGAGGCTTCTTGGGCCGTTTTGGGGCCCTCTTGGGGCCGTCTTGGGGGCCTTTTGGGCCGTCATGGGGGCCATCTTGGAGGCCTCTTGGGCGATCTTGGGGGCCTCTTGCGCCGCCTTGAGCCGTCGGAATGCCGAGAAGAAGCACATGCCAACATCTTTCAAACATCTTGAGAATCTCAATGATGTGGGCCTCCCCGTGTCCTCCTGGGAGACCTCCTGGACGCCTTTTGGGCCGTCTTGGATGCCTCTTGGGGGCCTTGTGGGCCGTCTTGGGCCATCTTGAGGCCATCTTAGGCCGTCGTGGGTGCATCTTGGGCCGTCTTGGAGGCATCTTGGGGCCATCTCAGCCGTCTTGGAGGCCATTTTTGGCTGTCTTGAAGGCCTTTGGGGCCCTCTTGGGGCCGTCTTGGGGTCCTCTTGGGCCGTCATGGGGCCATCTTGGAGGCCTCGTGTGCGATCTTGGGGCGATCTTGGGGGCCTCTTGGGCCTTCTACAGCCGTCGGAATGTCGAGAAGAAACAGATGCCAAAATCTTTTAAACCCCGAAGGGAAATCAATGATATTGGTCTCTTCGGGCTCTCCTGGAGTACCTCTTAAAAGCCTCTTGGGCCGTCTTGGGCAATATTGAGGCCATCTTAGGCCGTCTTGGATGCATCTTGGGCCGTCTTGGAGGCATCTTGGGGCCATCTGAGCCGTCTTGGAGGCCACCTCGGCCGTCTTGGAGGCCTCTTGGGGCCGTCTTAGGGGGTCTCTTGGACCATCATGGGGCTATCTTGGAGGCCTCGGGGGCGATCCGTCTGGAGCCGTCGGAAGACCGAAGAGAAGCAAATGCCAACATCTTTCAAAACCCTGGGGAAATCAATGATTTTGTCCTCTTCGGGCCCTCCTTGAGCATCTCTTGGAGGCCTCTTGGGTCGTCTTGGGCCCCCAGACGGCCCAAGAGGGCCCCAAGACGACCCAAGAGGGCCCCCAGACGGCCCCAAGAGAGCCCAAAGAGGGCCCCAAGCGGGCCCGAAGAGGCGGTATGGGGTTTGGTCTGCTTGGGTGTAGGGACTGGGCTGGCCCAAAGACGGCCCATGAGTCCCTAAACGTGTTTTATCGCGCTCTAGTGCCTTCCCAGGATGCCAACACGCCCTAGTTCCCCCTGAAGAGGCCTCCTGCGGCTTCTAGATAGCCCTGGAGGGCGCCCAATATGCCACCAAGATGCCCCTAAGAGAGCCTCCAGACGGGGAGACAAAGCGGAAGAACGGGCAGGCCAGCGACGTCTCGCGCTCTGAAAGTAATGCGCTTTCCGTCCCCGTGCCAAGCAGGTCTAATTGCCTTCGGCCCATCCCGCCACCGTGCCTGGGTGGTGGGTCTGAGGCCTCTTGGATGTTCGTCGGGATCCCGTCGAGGCCTGCTGGAGGCTTCCTGGAGGCAATTATGATGCCTTTGGGGGGCTGTTTTGGGGCCTCTTTCGGGCCTCTTAGGGGCCTCTTGGAGCCTGTCTGGAGCCTCTTGGAACAGAAGGCTCGGATTTTCGGCTCGTGTTCCCTCTCTTGGGCCCCTCTTGGGGCCGTCTTGGGCCTTCTTGGGGCGGTCTTGGGCGCCTCTTGGGCCGTCTTGGGGCGGTCTTGGGGGCCTCTTGGGACGTGTTGGAGCGTCGGAAGCTCGAGCAGCGTAGAACCCCAAGAACACGAAACAGTTCCGGGGCAATCAGTGATTTTGGCCTCTCGGGGCCCTCTTGGGAAGGCTCTTTCCTGGAGGCAGGGATGTCCTGGGCGCTTTTGCGGCCGACTGGACGCCACCTTGGGCTTGGCATCGCTCGGACGTGTGCGGTTTTCCTTCGGCGAGGACCATCGAGGAGCATCCTTGATCATTTGGCGAAAAAACCACACGCGAAACCGAACAAAAACACAGGGAATGGACGTCCGAGCGATGGCCAGTCGATCGTTCAGCGACTCGAGCCCTCTTGGACAGTTTTTGGGCCACTTGGGGTCCTGAAGGCCACCCCGGGGAGTTCCGGCATCCGTGGGCCCACCTTGCCGCGACTCGGGAGCGGAAAAGAGGGGGTGATGACTAGGGGGGGGTGGATTTCATGGCGCGGGCCATGATTTTTCCCCAGATTTCATGGCGCCTCTTCTTATTTCATTGCGTCCCTGGCCCCCCCGCTGGGCCGCGCACATGCCGCCGGTCATGATTTGCACCCCCCCCCCTTGGACACCCCCCTCTTGGCCGCTCCCGACTGGGGGCGGCCCCGCGCTCGCGGAGTAGAAGTGTCCGAAGCCTGCTGCTGGAGGACTCTCAGCACGCCTCTGGCCCGCAGGGCTGCGCAATTGTGAACAGCGGGATTGATCAAGCTGCGATTGCGCTGAAAGCGTGCACTGTTTTCTTCCCCAGCCTCCTGGACCCCGTCTTCAAGAGCAGAGTCGATGGAGGGGAAGACGTAATTAAGACGCTCTGCGGCAGCGCCGTCGGCGGCAGTTTTGAATACTTCTGCGCCGGCGTGTGGCTGAGACCCCAGCGGGCTTCACACGCTGGCTGATGACTGCACGTGAACGTTTGTGCTCTTGTGACTCAGGCTGCTGGTCCAGTTCTTTATGAAAATCTACGGTGAGGTTTCGCCGCGCGTTGTGCGCAGCGGTCATTTCCCTCCTCGTCCCCCCTTTTCCCTTCCTTCGTCTCCTGGCTCGCTCCCTCCCTCTGGCCACAAACAGTCAGAGTGCACTGTAAGAGCTTATAGCTTACATCATGCCTGCGGCCATCGCTCAGTGCCGGCTGCAGGTCCTGCGCAGGCGGTGCTGTTCGCAGGGATCCTTTGCCCTTTGCAGCCGAGGCGTGAGCGGAAGGGTGCAAAGCAGTCCGTGTTTGCAGGCGGAGACCGCTCATCGCCCTCGGCTGCGGGTACTGCGCAGGCTGCGGGTCGCAGGGCACCTCGGCTCAAAAAAAAGCATTGCTCAGCTGGTCTCCGCATTGAATGGAGAGCAACTTTGCACCATGATGGGCAGCAAGACAGACCACCTGTGTGTGTTGTCTGTGTTTCGCCCACTGGCACGTGGTTCTCTGCAGTTTGTTTTTGTCGGTACCTGCATTACGTCCCTAATCGCCGCCGCTGGCCCCCCCCCCCCGCACCAGACTTTAGTTTTGCGCGCCGGCGGGCGATTATGAAGGGTCCAGGGAGCTCCCTGGGCCTCGAGGGCCCTGCTCGGCAGCCGCAGAAGACGCCCAGAGGCCCCCAGAGCTCGCCCATATGCATGGCGGACGGCACAGCATGGTCTCAGGACGGCCCAAGGTATCCTCAGGCCCCAAGACCACTCCCAGAGGATTCCCAAGAGGCCCCCGAGAGGGGAAACTTGTTCCATCCGTGGAGGAAAAACATGTATGCTTACCATATTTGCTTCTATCGCCCGAAGACGGGCCAAGACGCCCCCAAGCGAGCCCCCAGGCGGCTCCAGCAGCTCCAAGACAGCCCAAGAGGTGCCCAAGACGACCCAAGAGCGCCCGACAAGGGACCCAAGAGAGGCCCAAGAGGGGGAACTCGAACTGACAGTTCGAGCCTCGACTCCCGGCTGAACAGTTTCTGTCAAGCACCTACGAGTTTTTGGGTTGTATCTGTAGGATTGGCAGTTTGTCGGCCGAAGATTCTTCCTAAGGGGCCTCGGACAGGTAGCGACCTTTTCAGGAGGCCCTCCAAGGGTCCTCTGCGTGGCTTTGAATGCCCCCAGGGTTCCGGAGACCGTCCAGCGGATCCAGCCTCGGTCCCAGGAGGCCCTCAGATGGCCCCGCAATGCTCGGAGAGGTCCCAACCTGACTCCCTTCTTGCTTGAAGAGCCCAAGAGGTCCTTGCGGTTCCCAAGGAGCCACCCAGCGGGTCACCCGAGAGGCGTCACGGGTCTCCCAGCTCGCCCGAGACAGACGAAGACCCAAATGCTGTCCCAACGTGGTCGTCACATACGTCCCCGCGTGTCCACCAGAGCCCCACGAGGGCGTCTTGGCTCTCCTCCGTCTCTCCGTCTTACTCCCTCCCTTCTCGATCGTAATCCTTGCTCCTGCCTTCCCTCTTCCCCTCCATCGTTTCTTCCTTCCGCCGCCCCCCTTGCTCGACTCTTCTCTCATCCCTGTTGCGACCCGCATTCTCGCCTCTCCCTGCGTCCCTCCTTCCCTCCCTTCTCCCGCCCTCCCTCCGTGCACGGGGGGACCTGCTGGCTCTTATGCTGGCACTTACGACCTCCAGCCCAGGTTCCCAGGGTGCTTTTGTCGGATTCCCCGCGAGAGCCACGTTCCAGGCCTCCGAGGTGCTCTGGAGGCCGTCCTCCACGATGACTTGCTCTTGCACTGACTCGTAGTGCTCCGCCTCAGCCTTGGGCGCGTTGATGTCCTCGAACTTCTTCTCGACCTTCCGCATTTCCTGCGGCTTCTCATGGTGCCAGTTTCTCGCCTTGTGAAGCCTGTCCCACGGCTCCCTCGGCTTTGACTCATCCTGCTCCACTGCGCTCCAGTTTCCGCTCTTGCGGTAGCCCCTTGTAGCTTCCCCTCCGCCACTGGGTCCCACCGGAGCGCCGCCACGGTTCCCTCGAAGGAGAGCCTCCTGCGCCGTCTTTCTTCCCTTTGGCCAGCTCTCCTCCCTTGCCATTGCTCTTGCCGTTGCCCGTGCCGCGCTTGGTGCCCTTGCCGCTCTTCCTCCCGCCAGCGCTCCCGTTGGCCCAGGGGCCGAGGGCAGGGATCCCGACGAAGGCGCCGCAGCAGCACCAAGGCAGGGTTTTCCTGCGCAGCCTGTCGTTCCGGGTCCCGTCGCCGCACTCCGTGCCAGCCGTGTGCATCCCTCGCTGGTCGGCTTGCCCCCCACGGCGCCGCCCCGCTTCTGCACACCGCGCCCGCCCTCGCGCGCGCCGGCTGGTTGTCTGGGCCTCTGGCCAGAGGTATCCACTTGCTCGCCTGCGGAGCCCTGCATCCTGAGCCAAACTGGCTGCGGACGACTACGACGGCACTGACGACGCCGACTACGACGACGACGACGACGACGACGACGACGACGACGACGACGACGACGACGACGCCGCCGTTGCCGCCGCCGCCACAGCCGCCGACGTCGTCGGCGGACTCCGAGGTCTCCCAGCCGCCGGGCGCCTTCCTCGCCTTCCAGCCTGCGGCACGCGTGGCCCTGCCCTTCTCCGTGGCGCCGCTGGCGCAGCTGCCGGAGACGGCCTGCTACATGTGGGGGCCGGGGGTCCTCTGGGGGCGCCCTCAACCCCTCGGGCCGGGCGAAAGGGGGGGATTGGGAAAGGGGGGGTTACGAAATTTGCTGCGTGCAGCTGGTTTCGGCCTCACCGAGGGGCCCATTCCTCCATACATGGGCGCCTCCGGCGCCGGGAGGCGCCGGGAAAATCAGCTACGTGAGCTGATTCTCAACCCCCCCCTTTGCTATCCCCCCCTTTTGCCCGGCCCGAAACCCCTCGGCATCGCTCGGACGGGTGCATCCTTCCTTCGGCGAGGGCCGTCGAGAAAAGCATCCTGGCTCCTGCGAGAAAGAGGCACGCGCGGCCTCGACAAAGATGCACGGAGAGTGGACGTGTCCGAGCGATGGCGAGACCTCCGTTCGGGGTCTCTGAGGGTCTCGTCGGTTTTCGAAGGTCTCCTCGCCTTGGTGTGCCTTGCAGCAGCCGCGCTGCGTCGAGGGCATTCCAGGGGTGCCCGGATCGTCCCGATCGGCCGCGGGAGGCCCGGCCCGGAAATTTGGCGTCGTTCGGTGGTAAGTTGTGGGAGCCTGCTATACCCCGTTAGCCCCGTCTGTAGCTTCGGATACAACTCCTGGGAGGTCAAATTCTGATTCTGCGCTGGTCCGAAATCCGGCTTAATCCGGCTTAATCCGGCTTAATCCTGCTTAATCCCGCTTAATTCCGCTAAATCCTCTTAAACCCTCTTAATCCGGCTTCATCCCGCTTAATCCGAGGCCCACTCCGGCGTAATTGCTCCCAAATTGGGCTTCATCCTCCTTAATCTTTCCGACGAAAACCTCCCAGTAGTTGCCTCCTAGTGTAGCGTCGATTCGCATCGACCAGCGTCTGGGGGTCGATCAAACACCGCCGATGTAGCGTCGGCTAGCGTCGATGAGCGTCGACTTAGAGTCGAGCCGCGTCGACTAGCGTTGCCTCGCGTCGATCCGCAGGGGCCGACAAGATGGTACGGGAGGCTCCGATGGCACGGGAGGCTCCCATGAGTTGCCACCGAGTCATCATCGCGTCAAGGAGAGATCACGACGGACGCCTTCTTGCAGATGTGTCGGCCTCCTGGGGCCCCCTGCCGTGACCTGGGGGCCGTCAAGAAAAGGCTCGGCCTGGATTGCGTATCGGCCCACCAGAGAATGCTGTAAGAACCGCTTTGTGGTCTGCACGGAAGTGGTCTTAGAACACTTCTGGCCGAAACTGCCTCGTTCTCAACCATCCTGTGGTGTTGGGTCCTCGTTTTGAGGAGACGGTCCCCGCGTTCCTCCTCTCCTCCCCCTCCACCCCCTCCTCCCTCCTCCCCCTCCTTGCATATGCCCTCCGCATATTTCTGTCTCGTCACGCTCCTCACACGTTTCGTGACCACACAGGACGCTCCACCGAAGGCCCCAGTGCTACCGTCCGCAGGCGTCCCCCGCACCCACGTCGGCACACGCTCCTCGCACGCTTCGCGGCTCCATATAGGGAGCCCGAGCGAAGGCCCCAATGCCAGCGTTGTCGCATGCGGCCACCGCACCCCTTTTGGCACACCCCTCACCTTTTTTACTGGCGTGCAGGAGCCCCGTGGCAAGGCGGGGACAGAGAGAAGGGGAGGAGGGGCGGGAGGCAGAGGGGGAACCACAGCGGCCGCGCCGCCGCCTTCGGGGCGGCCCCGGCGCGCGCCCACCTAATTAGCCAGGGGCGCCCGGCCGCTCTTGCAGACGAGCCCGCAGGGCCGCGCGCCACTCGGCGTCGCGGCCGCCAGCGGGCTCCGCAGGCAGCAGGAGCAGCATGGCGGCCCGCGGCGGCAACGCCGGAGCCCAGCCGCCGCAGGGCCGGCTCGCGAGCCGCCGCCAGCACGGCGCCCAGCACCCGCATTTCACGCAAGCGACCCACGCCGGGCCTTGCACCGCCGCATGCGGTTGCCAGGCGTCGCCTTCAAACAACGCCCTCGCCGCGGCCGCCTGCCCAGGGCGGGGGTGCTCGGGGGGCGCGGCAACCGCTGGCGGCCCATGCCGCGCCCGAGCCCTCGGCGCTGCGGCGGCGGCGACTGCTGCCGCATCCCCCTCTCGCGGCGCCCATCAGCGGTGGTGGGCGCCGCCCTGCGGCGCCGGACTCTGGGCCCAGCTGGGCCGGCGCGGCCGTGGTTGGCCTTCAGGGCTGCCAGCTCCACGGCGGCCGCCGCGCGCTGGACCGCCGCGAGCGCCTCCAACTGCCGCGTGCGCTGCTGGAGGAACGCCAGCGGTGGGAGCCGGGCCTTTGCACCAGCGCCAGCCAAAGTGTTCGCCGCGTCGTTCCCAGCCCAGTCCTCCGCCGAGATGCCCCGATCGGCAGCCTCCGCCTGGGTTAAATGAGCTTTCGCCCAGCGAGCCCGCAGCATCCCGGAGCGGCAGAGCGGCGCGATCGCCTCCTGCAAATCAGCATGATGCCAATTCATCGGGTTCGCGCCGCCGCGCAGCGCGACCACCCCACGCGCGACGAATCGCGAGTCGGTGACGACGTCCACTGGCGCCCCCGCCAGGCTGCACGCGTGCGTGACAGCCCAAAGCTCCGCGCGCTGCGCCGTCTGGCGGCCGTCCACAGGGCCGTGGCTGTCGAGGCGCCCGACGGGGAGGCCTTCGAGGCGCGCGCCCCAGCCCGCTCGAGCGAGCAGCGGGTCGGCTGGGCGCAGGCAAGAACCGTCAGTCCAAGCGCGGACCCTCCCCTGCGGCAGTTCTGGCGTGGCGGGGTCTGGCAGCGGCGCAGCTGGAGCGCCTGCTGGGCGTCGCCCGCCATGGCCTCCAGGTGGGTGTCCAGAGGCAGCACCGCGGCGCGCGCGACCTTGGTTGGCAGGCAGGCGCGGGCGGCCGCCAGGGTGAAGCCGCTGCGCGCCAACGCCGCGGCGCGGGTGGTCTCCCACCGCGGGCAGAGCCACAGTCGGTGCTCGAGGTCCTCCACCGCGGCGCCGCAATGAGGGCGCGCTGGCGGGCGCCCCCATTTTGCCGCCACGGACTCCGTGATCACATTGCCGGGGATCACCGTCCGTAGCGCGCCGGCGGCGTCAGGTGCCAGCTTGCCGGACTCCAGGAGCTGGCGCGTCGCCCAGCGATCGATCCCCCCCGCCAGACTTTGGAAATCGGCCCAGCGCCGCGCGACCTCGCGGGCCTCTCGCGCCCCCAAGCTTCCAACAACACCGCGCGCGTATCGGGATGGGCGCGGGCTGCTGGACGCCAGCCGTCTGGGGCGGCGGGGGTGCCCATCCAGGCTTCGACATCCGCGCCCAGGAGCAGCTCAGCCATGCTGCGGATCGCGGCGGCGATCGGGCCGAAGCGCCGGCCGTGCCCGGCAGCCAAGGCGCCCCCGCGGCCTCCCTCCAGAGATCGCCAGGGAACCGCCGGCGTCGGAGGGCCTTGGCAGCCTGCCACAGCGGCGCGAGCACTGTCACCGCCAGCGGGTCTAGGCGCCAGCTCGGCGCCAGGACGCCGAAAACGATCGCCGCCGAGGCGCGCAGACCGCCGCGGCAGACCTTCGCCGCGGCACGCAGGCCGGCCAACACGCGAACCGGAGGTCGCCCACAAGCTGCGCTGCACGTGCCCGCCGCCGCGCCAGCTGCAGCGCCAAGCAGGCAGCGGCTGCTGAAGCGGAGCGGCAAGCGGCCGAGTCGGGCGAAACGCGCGGGCGCCCCATGCACCCGCGCCGCCGCGACCGCGCAGCGCCTTGCCCGGCCAGCTGTGGCGGCGACGCCCAGGTCCCGAAATTCAGGGCTAGCCTGGGTGTCCGGGACCTGCTCCGCGAGCCAACGCCGCAAGTCCTTGCTGCTCGCGAACTGCCGGCTCTTGTCGCTGCCTCGAGCGAGGTAGTGAGGCGCAGCGCGTCTCGCACCGCCTCGGCGGCGCCCGCGTTGTCCTCTGCCGCCGTCCGCGCCCAAAGCATGAAGTCATCCACATAGACGCGCCGGCGCAGCCGGTCGTCCAGCTGGCCATGTGGCCTTCATCCATGGCCAGGTCAACGCCGCCAGGAAGAACACTGCTAACGGGCAGCCTGGAAGGAGGCCCCGGGAAGGCCGCCACGGTTCGCCGATGGTCTTGCCCACCCGAACACGCCTGCGGGCTGCGTAGGCAGCCATCGCTGGATTCGACACTCGGTCCGGGGCCCCAGCGCGCGCAGGGGGCGTCGGGAGGGTCCGGAGGTCGACCTGTATATAAGCCTTGCGCCAATCCAGCGCCGCGCCGACGACCTCTTCCGACAAGGCGTCGGCCGCCTCCAATTCTAGGGCCAGCTCCCACGCGAGGTCTTCCGCGCCTTGCCGCCACTCTGCGCCCTTCCAGCTGCGCCCCCACTGGGCGAAGCGAGCGCGGCCCGCCGCCCACAGACGGTGCAGAGCCGGGAGCGGCCAGATAGGCCGACGCTCCAAAGGACCGTCTCCGCCACCAGGCTTCGGCAGCAGGGGCCCTTCTGGCTCCTCGAGCTCCAGCGGCCGCGCCCCTTGCGACTCCACTTCGTCGAAGAGTTGGGCAGCCCACTCGTGCAGCTCTGCCGGCAGCAGCCGGAGCTCGCTCACGAGCCACGCGTCTAGGCCCGGCGTTTTGCGCTTCGGCATCGCCTTCAGCAGAGCGCCTACCAAGTCCGTAGTCCATGCCGGCACGTCGGGGAATGGCGGCAGCCCGTCCAGCTCACGCTGCCAGGCGTCTGGGACAGGGGCCGCCGCTGGCTTTTGCCACAGCGCGCGCCAGGGTCCCTCGAAGTATCGGAGCCGCGTTGCTGGGCCACCCTGCAGCGCCAGCAACCACTGCCGGCGACCAACCGCCAGCTCGGGCGCAGCCGCGGCCGCCGCAGCAGCCGCCGGCGGCGCGGGCACCAGCTCGGCTTCCACGGTTCCCCCGCCGCGGATCCAGCGGTAGAGCCGACCCTGGCAATTGGCCAGCGAGTCTTGCACCCACCTGTGCCGCTCCTCCTGGCGCCGCTGCCGCCCGGCAGCCTGCGCGCCCTTCCACTCGCCCTCGGCGCGTCGCAAGAGTGCGATGGGGTTCTCTGAGGTCACCGTCAG